TGTAAGATAGCGAAGGCTTCCTACCAGGCTCCAGTACCTATTTGCATCTACTCGTTCTTCTTCATCGTACTTTGAGAGTTTTGCACCTCGTTCCATTGGTGTTGATACCGGGTTGCAATTTTCCATCTTGTACTTCTTAAAAATCTCCGTTGCATATTTCTCCTGTTATATAAAAATACCTGTCTCTCCTTGTTTAACCTCCAAACCAAAGAAAAACTTCAACAAGCCCAAGTCTGTCATCTCAAATTCTTGTGTCATTGTGCTTTTGAACTCTTCTATCATTTCATCATTGTTGCCTGAAAAGATGAGGTCATCGACATAAAGATCGACAAGTATCACATTACCTCCACTCTTCTTTGGGTAAAGTGCATGAACATGGGGACATTGTTTGTACCCGTTCTCCTTGAAGTATGTATCGATACAAGTATTCCATGCTCGCAGTGCTTGCTTCGACCCGTAAAGCGCCTTCTTCAATTTTAGTACCTTCTTCTCTTCTCCAATTTTCATGTACCCGGGAGGTTGTTCGAGGTGTACTTCTTCTTCAAGTACACCATTCAAGAATGCCGCATTGACATCCATTTGAATTGAGCTGCTTGGGAAATAAGCAATCGGATTGTCTCCATTCTAGCGACGGGAGCAAACACTTCGTCATAGTCGATTCTCTCCTTTTGCTTGTATCCCTTCACAACAAGTCGCGCTTTGTACCGCTCAATCTTGCCTTGAGCATTCATCTTTTTCTTGAATACCCACTTCACACCTATGGGCTGACTTCCTTTCGGTAATTCTGTCATCTCCCATGTATTGTTGCGATGAATCGCTTTAATCTTCTCATCCATGGTAGTTTTCCACTTCTTGTCTCGCACCGCCTTTTCAAAGCTGATATTTTCAGTATCTGCTAGAAGACATACAAGGTGTACCTTATTTGTTGAATTATACAAGTCTTGCAAACTTTGCATTTTGGGTTGTCGTGGTTCATCTTCATCATCGAACATTTCTGAGTCTATTGGTGCACTTGTTGGTGCAACGACTGATGATTCTCCAACTTCGATGTTGACTTTCGTCGAATTGTTCCACTCCCATTCGCTTGCTTCATTTACTCGCAAATCGCGACTCACTATCACCATCTTGCTTATCGGGTCAAGTAGCTTGTATCCTTTTGTCTTCTTATCATATCCAATAAAAATATACATTTTTCTTTTATCTTCGAGTTTCATTCTTAATTGATCCGATACGTAAGCATAAGTCACACTACCGAATACTTTGAGATGAGAGATTGTAGGCTTTTGTCCGCTCCAAGCCTCTTGTGATATTTGATCATCTAACTTCGCATGTGGACATCGATTTTGTACGTAGATGGCGCATTGCACGGCTTCTGCCCAAAATTCCTTTGGCATCCTTTTGCTCTTGAGCATTGATTGAACCATGTCGAGAATGGTCCGGTTCTCTCTCTCGGCCACACTATTTTGTTGAGGGGTGTATGGTGCGGTTAGAAATCGCCTTATGTCTTGCTCCTCGCAATACTCCATGAAAGTCGTCAAAGTATACTAGTCACCTCTCTCGGATCGTATAGCTTTGAGGTGTCTACCAGTTGCCTTCTCCACCATTAGTTTGAACCTTTTGAACACCTTGAATGCCTCGGATTTTTCTTTCAGAAAGTAAGCCCAAGTTTTCTGTGAGTAATGATCGATAAAGAAAATGAAGTACCTCTTTCCGCTGAAAGACTCGAGGTAATTAGTCCACATATATCTGTATGGATCAACTTGAGAGGTTGTTTAGCCCAAAATTCAGCCTTCTTTTGAATTGAGTTGTCGCATGCTTGCTAACCATGCATTCTTCACAAAATTTTCCTTCAAAGTCCATGTTGGGTTAGCTCATGCACCATATTCTTCTTCGCTAACTCCTTTAGGCCGTCATGATGTAGGTGACCAAAACAGAGATGCCACAGTGATGCCTTGTCTTCTATGTCGACTCGCAAACACTTTTCTCATATGCTTCTTAAATTTAGTTTGTACATCCGATTTCTTCCAATCTCGACTCAAGCAACCAAATGCCCTTGCTTATCCTTTAGGTGTAGCAGACTGTCTTTTAAGAATATTGAGTAACCTTTCTCCGTGAGTTGTCCCATACCCAATATGTTGATCTTGAGGTATGGTACGTAATAAACATCTTGGATTGACCCCATTACACCATCCTTTTGCAAGAAATGTATCATACCTCGGCCTTTGACCTCCACCTTTGACGCATCTTCAAATGACACATGACCATCTTCAATCTTTTGCATCTCTTTGAATAGGTACTCGTGGCCGCACATATGGTTGTTTGCCCCTAAGTCGAGGTACCATAGAGTGTCGTTGTTGATGTTGTCTTCTTGAGCCATCAAGAGAAGACCTTCATTTGTTACGTCTTCCAGGGCTAGGTTGGTTGCTCCTTCCACCCTTTTTCTGGCTCGACAATCTTTTGCAACATGCCCCACTCTGCCACAATTGTAACATTTGTCAGAGTTACAATCATTCGCATAGTGATCATATTTTTGACATTTATAGCACTGAATGTTTGATCGGTCATCTCTTCCTCGACTACGTCCTCTTCCACGCCAATTTGTTTGGCTCGACTGTCTCTTCTCCTTATAATTTTCTTCATTTCTGCTGTCTTGACCACCTCGACCATTCTCGCGACTTCCACGACCTCTACCTTGAATATTTTGAGAGTAGAGTACTTTTCATCTTTTATTGATGCTTTGGTTTGAAGTGCTTGATCGAGTGTCTCCTCCTTCTTCTTCTTACGTTGCTCGTGTGCCACAAGAGAACCGGCGAGCTCATCGACCGTGAACGTCGTTAGGTCCTTTGACTCTTCTATTGCATATACAACATTCTCGAAGTTGTCGGTTAACGACTTCAATATCTTCTCCACAACCCGTGTCTCGAGTAACATTTCTCCGTTTCGATTTAGTTGGTTTACCATAGTTTGTACGCGCGTAATGTAGTCAGATACATTTTCTGACTCCTTCATCTTCATGCTCTCCAGCTCACCACGCAGAGTTTGGGAACACACTTGCTTGACTCGATTGGTTCCTTTGAGCACTTTTTCTAAAGTGTCTCACACTTCTTTTGAAGTAGTTGCCCTGGCAATCTTCTCAAAGCCCGACTCGTTAACAACCCGGAACAACATGTATAATGCTGCCTTATCCTTTGATCGCAATTCTTTTAACGCCTTGTTTTGTACTGCCGTATAATTGTGGTATCGTTTGGTTCTTCGAAACCTTCTTCGACCACCTCCCATGCGTCTTGAGAACCAAGAAGAGCTTTCATTTGGATGTTCCAATTCTTGTAGTTCATCTTCGTTAATCACGGTAGCGGCATTTGACCCATCATATTCACTATCAGCTCTGATACCAATTTGTTAAAATAACACTCATGAATCTGTAAAGTAATCTCACACTCACTAACAATCGAACGCTCCGATTCCGCTTTGCGAAAGTAGTACTCGCGTACTTGTGAAGGAGGGAGAGACAAGGAGACAAAGAATACTGAAATTTTTTTTCTATTGCAGTGTACTTTTTAGCTCTCTAGTTTTCTTTTTTTCTCTTGCTCTTTTGCTCTCTTTGCTCTGCATTTACAGTAGAAAACAAACGTATTTATAATCTTTCTAAAACTAAATAGGTATCCCATAAAACCCAATGTTTCCTAAAATAAATCTTTGCCTTTTAGTTTAGGACTTAATTTTAAAACCCACTAAAATTAACCTACTCAAATTAACTAAAAATTATCTTAAGTTTATTTTAGGCAAAAACTAAATTATCTTAAGTTTATTTTAGGCAAAAACTAATCTTCATCGTTTAAGTTTATTCCAACAATAATATAAGTTATACCATGAGACCATTATGCTATTCTATCGATCTTGTTCTGAACTCAATGTTGTCTGATGCATGAAACCTCTATATGTTATGCCACACACACTATGCATGTTCACTTTTGACTTAGAAATATTGTTAAGCCACGTACGTTATTTGTGAAATTTATGCTTACAAAAAGAAAAAAATATGGTTTACATCACACGTATATGTCATGATTTAAATCTATGGGAAGCTCATGCATTTTGTATGTCACATGCATTAGGATACTTATTCGTTAGAATTAGTATAGATTTGTAGAATAAAATATTATGTATACCATGATATTATGCACGCTTCTTTCCTTCTAAGACTTTTCTAGGAAAGTGAGTGTACGCTAGCCGAAGGCTAGGTCTAGGGAGTACATATATGATCCCGCCTAGGGGCTAATGTGTGCGTGTGTGAGCCGTGTGGAGAGAAGTACTATACATCAAATTCAGTACAAACTAGAAAATAGAAATCAAGGCTACAATGTTTTATGAAAGGATAGGTCTCATCATGGTTGCATGTGACTATATTTCTTGACCTCAATAGTGGGTTACTTACTGAGTATTTTTAAATACTACAGCCACATGCTACTTCTTTTTTCAGGTAAAGGTAGGGCACCCTGTACGGATGATGGTGTGTTGTGAAGGTCATGGAAGTGAAGTTGGGACATTTGCATACATGTTTAGTATAGTAGCCCTTAGGTTAGATCGTGTTTGTTTAGATTGCTGTCAATTAGTATCTAATTAAATCTTCTTATAGTTACGAGTTGATTTAGTTTTGATTTGAAATAGTTTAAATTTGTTTACTGGTTTGTTACAAGATCTTCTGCAGATTTTTAGGTAGATTTTTCAATATCTTTTTATATTCTCTGTATATATAGAGAGTCTTCTTACTCTTCATAATACTATCTTCTTACCAACCATTCAATTACTCCTTCTTTCACTAACAAATTGGTATCAGAGGAGTGTTATTAAGGGCTTCTTATCAACCATTCAATTACTCATTCTTTCACTAACAAATTGGTATTAGAGGAGTGTTCTTAAGGGATCTGTGAGATCAAATCGAAGGAGAATCAAGTTTTTCAGCTCTTGCACCACCCGTCTTCAATGAAGACAATTGTCAAATGTGGGCAGTTTGTATGGAGACTTATATGGAGGTTTTGGATCTTTTGGAAGCAATAGAAGAGAATTACGAGGTCCCTTCACTTTCAGAAAATCCTACTGTAGCACAAATCAAAGTACAAAAGGAAAAGAAGACAAGAAAATCAAAGGCAAAAGCTTGCCTATTTGCAACTGTATCTCAAATGATCTTCATGCGAATAATGTCCCTCAAAAAAGAAAAGGAAATTTGGGATTACCTCAGTGCTGAATACGAAGGAGATGAGAGGATTGGTGGAATGAAAGTCCTGAATTTGATTAGGGATTTCGAGTTGCAGAAGATGAAGGACTCTGAGTCGGTGAAAGAGTACTCTAACAGACTTCTCAGCATTGCTAACAAGGTGAGATTGCTTGGTTCTGTGTTAAATGATTCTAGTATCGTTGAAAAGCTTTTGGTTACTGTTTCAGAGAAGTTGAAGCCACCATCACTACTCTGGAGAACACCAAAAACCTGTAAAAAATTTCTCTTACAAAGCTCTTGAATGTTTTACAAGCACAAGAGCATAGGTCTATGAGGCAAGAAGGGGTGATTGAAGGTGCCTTACCTGTTAAGCATCAAAACAACAAGTATAAAAAGAAGAAAAATTTCAAAAATCAATCGATGAATGGAGATTCATCTGCCAATTATCAGAAGACAAAAGGAGGAGGTTCCGAAAAAACTCTATCCACTTGCCGCCATTGTGTGAAAAAAGGTCATCCACTATACAAGTGTTGGAGAAGACCTGACGCCAAATGCTCCAAATGCAATCAACTTGGACATGAAGCAGTGATCTGCAAAGTCAAAGGTCAGATGAAAGAAGTTGATGCACAGGTAATTGATCAAGAAGAAGAAGATCAATTGTTTGTGGTCACTTGTTTCTCAGGCAAAGAATCAAGCAAGAGCTGGTTGATTGACTGTGGGTGCACAAATCATATGACATATGACAAGAAGTTGTTTGAGGAATTAAGAGACACTTAAGTCAAGAGAGTGAGGATTGGCAATGGTGAACACTTGGAAGTCAAGGAAAAAGGCACAGTAGCTATAACAAGCTATAAGGTACAAAATTTATTCCAGATGTTTTATTTGTACCCAAAACTGATCAAAATCATCTTAAGTGTTGGTTAGTTACTTGATAAATGCTATAAAGTGTTGTTTGAGAATAAGCAGTGTTTGATCAAAGATGTTAGTGGCAAAGACTTGTTCAATGTCAAAACGAAAGGAAAAAACTTTGCTTTAAATCCGATGGAGAAAGAGCAGATGACCTTTATATCTAGAACTAGTGCCATTGAGATTTGGCACAAAAGACTTGGGCACTTTCATCATTGAGGTTTACTTCATATGCAGTCAAAGAAGTAGGTAGAAGAACTCGCTGACATTGATGATGATATGCCTCTTTGCCGTGCTTGTAACATTGGGAAACAACATAGGCAAACCCTTTCCTAAACAGGCATGGAGAGCCTCGAAAAAGCTGCAACTTGTTCATACTGATCTTTGTGGTTCTCAACGAACACCATCATTAAATGATAATCTTTATTACATTGTTTTTATTGATGATCTAACAAGAATGTGTTGGATCTTACTGAAGCAAAAATCATAAGTTGCGGGTGTATTTTGGAAATTCAAAGCCAAAGTTGAAAATGAAAGTGCATGTTTGATTCAGACTATAAGATCAGATAATGGCAAGGAGTACACTTCAGAAACTTTTAACAGGCTTTGTGAAGAGGCTGGAATTGAACATCAATTGACAACACCATACACTCCCGAATAGAATGACGTCAGTGAAAAGAGGAATAGATTCATAAAGGAGATGACGAGATGTATGCTTCATGAAAAGGATCTTCCAAAACGTTTTTGGAGAAAACAACAAACATTGTTGTGTGCTTGCAAAATCGAATTTCAACAAAAGCTGTGAAGAACCTGACACCATTTGAAGTTTGGTATGGTTACAAACCTTCTTTAAAGTTCCTTAGAGTATTTGGGTGTCTTTGCTTCACTTACATTCCACAGGTCAAGCGTAATAAGCTTGTGCCCCTATCTTTGTTTGAAAGGAGTCCCTCATGTTCAGCTGGTCCCATAGAAGCCTAAGCCTTTGCTAATAAATAGTATAGCACACTGATTTCTTTGACCGATAAGCTAAGGCATGTTCTTCATGTTGCAACTGATAGAAAGAGAATGATGACAAAAAGGTAGAAGCTGACATCTTTGTTGGGTATAACATTATATCAAAAGCTTACAGAGTTTTTCAACCACATACTAGTCGTGTTATTATGAGCCGAGATGTTCATTTTGCTGGAAATGAGCAATGGAATTGGGAAGAACTAACGAAGGTGAAACAGATTTCTAATGCACTAAACAATTTAATCTTTGGTAGCATGTTAGAAGAGTCTGAAGATGAACGACAAGATACTTTGGTTGATGATGCACCTATCAGAGGAGGAGTTTTCGGTGATCGAGAAAATAAAACCTAGGAGTTGGTTGATTGACCTCTAAACAGAAATATAATTGGAGCAAGATGGGTGTTCAGAAAAAAGCTTGGAGTTCACAACATCTAAACAAGGAGGAATGTTAAAGATCACGTGTTTGTTTAGATTGGTGTCAATTAGTGTTTGATTAAATTTTCTTATAGTTTTGATTTAGGTAGATTTTTCAATATCTTTTTATATTATATGTATATATATAAAGTCTTATTGCTTTTCATAATTCTATCTTCTTATCAACCATTCAATTACTCATTCTTTCGCTATCAACATCAATGCGTTGCATTATTCTATTTAAATTCATTTTATCTATATATTTTTTTTTTTTTTTGCTATGTTGGTGACAAAGATGTTTTAAATTAATTTAATATGACTATTAAGTCCATGGAATTGTGGATGACATGTCTAATATGAAGTCACTATGTAGTGGTCCTATTTTTGAAGTAAAATAGAGTCGTCACTATGTCCATGACATGTTTAATATGTGCGGAAATTCCTTTAAAATAGTTTATTAAAATGTTTATATGGACTAAAATGTTCATAAAATTCATTTAAACTAACAATGATGTTATCAAATTGTCAAAATGAAATAACTCGAATTTCAAAGTAATGAAAATGTCTAAGAGCTCAATGTTAAATGTAAATGTGACTATCCTAACTTACTTTTCATGGCCTCCAAAAAGACAATGTCATTTGTACAAGAGTGTCTTACCTTCACATGAAAAAGAAGTAGCACGTGGCTAGAGTATTTAAAGAAATACTCAGTAAATAGCCACACTGTTGGGGTCCAGTAATGCATTCACATACAATTATAGCTGGACCTATCCTTTCATAAAAACATTATTATCTTGAACTTTACTTTCTAGTTTGAGTAGAGCTGGATGTGTAGTACTTATCTGCATATGACCTATACACACGTGCACATGGACGCACCAAGAGGGCTCGTATACATACCACATGAATTTGACTTTGGTCTTGCGCATACTCATGCTATTCGAGCCACTCAGGCAAAGGAGCTCAATAATATCATGGCGTGCAAAACATCATAATGTATGCTTCCGTACTAATTATAAGGGAGACATATCCTGATACACGTGATATACAAAATGCATGATATCCCATAATTTCAAATCATGACATATACTTATGGTGCATACATTCGTTCTTTTTATGACATAGCATTCTATGAGACATGTATACATATATTGGACATATCTTTCATAGTTATCATACATGGTTTATCAATATCTCATTGGCATAGAGTGATTCCAGATAATAATCCTCAAATTGTAACTCTCAATAGCCCTGGAAACAAAGATTCAGACGAATGCAAACATAAAATGATCAAAGACTGTAAGAAGTGTAGCTCCTGACATCACAGAAAAGACAAAGCAAGGGATAGCTTCAACGACGAAATAAAAAAGGGAGAAGAAAAGGTCACAAATAGAGTGAAACAAGTCAGATTGTAAAGGCATAATGATAGTAGGGTTAGGCTATCCCTGCCTCTTAACCGAACGTGAAGGTCTCTCCTCATCCGACTGCTTTTGCTGAAATCATTACTCTAAGTTCTCCCGAGCTCCAGCAATTGTGCTCCATAATATATGTGGCGTGACATGTGGAGGTTCATGCATCACATAACATTGGTTTCACAATGTAGTTTTATAACATAATATAATATAATCATATCATTGTACAAATCACATCATAGTGTAAAACCGACACATAGCATATCACACATCAAATATTATAACATCACACAATATGACATGTACAGGGGCCACAAGGTACGTGTCATTCATACAACATACAAGTCATCTAACAGTAGAACTACTTAGTTGGTTGGTTGGACCAATATTACTAGACTCGGCTCGGCGTTGTGCAACTTCTCAACTCTAAAACGTGTCATTCTGCTTGGTATAGACATATTTATATAGATTCCTAGGTTTCTAACCCTTTCGAAACTGAATATGACCTTAATTAAGACAATTGAGGTCAGTATAACATCTTATTTCCAAATTCAAGTTAATTTAGGATAGAAATGTGAGTTATTAACGTAAATAAGAGGGACATTTTAATAGGAAACAACTTCCAACGATACGTGGAGCAACTTCGGAGAAATGGAATTCAAACGTACTCAAGTTTAGGGAGAACGCCAGCTAAGGCCAACCAAGTAAATGATCTTACTATCAGTATGTTTATATTAGATGTAGACACATGGCCCGTGGTTCTACATGTATCATATATTATGAATCACTATGACTATGATATGATATGTATATGTTATGATGTGGGAATTGTATGATAACACTTACGATATGATGTGTTTAATGATATGTTTGAGATAGGATATGAGAAGGATGCGATAAATGTAATGTAATGATCGAAATAAGTTATATTCATAAAACATTATGGTTAGGCTATATATCGAAAATAATATGGTTATGATAAATTAATAAAACGATAGAATAAGGTTATGTATAGAAAAACGTTATGGTTATGATAGATTGATAAGATGATACGATAAGGCTATGTATAGAAAAATGTTATGGTTATGATAGATCGATAAACGATATGATAAGGTTATACGATTAGGTTATGTACAGAAAAGAATGTGATTATGATGGACTGATGAAACGATATGGTTAGGATAAGTTTAGGAAACGATATGACCAAGATATGCATATAGAACGATATGACTACGAAATGTTTACGAAATCATTAGGATATGGGAACAATGTATGTATTTATATATATTATAATATAATATGAGAATGGTATGATATATGTTATTGTACGATAGGTTTGATGAATTGATATAGCTATGAGATATGTTGAAGGCATGCCCTATGTGACTGTTATGATTTATGATATGATATACCTATGTGACTATTATGATTTACGACGTGATATGATATGTGCATGAGGTGGATTGTTATGTCTGAAAACATGGAAATGTTATGATATGATATATTTGTGACATGAATGATATGATTGACATGCAAAACGACGAACTAGCATGAAATATAACCCTAACATACACGTGCAAGATACAATAAATGATATGATAAAATGATATGATATGAAGGAAGACGCTAGCAGGGTTGTATTAAAAGATAATGAAAATGGAAAATTTTTGAGACCTCATGCATTATTGTGTACTCATGCATCGGGGGATTCCCCTTATCCTTCATGATAGTACAGACGCGTACGCTACGAGGCAGGAGGACGATCATTATGTTATCATAATGTTGTTGTCATTATTCCTAATAGGTGTCTTGCATCAACAACTAATAGAGAATGTTCACCCGACCAGAAAGGGGCCCCAAGAGGTGTGCGTACCGACTGGTGAGTCCATACTCTGCACGTGTGAACCATGTGTAGGAAAATTAAGTACACATCTCAATTTTCCATTAGGATGGCCACCGTAGAAAAATGAACTGTTATGATAGATCCCTTTAATGAAATTGTATGTGTTTGCATTTAACCCTAATAGTGGGTCACTTATTCAATATTTTTTTTAAAATACTAAGCCACGTGCTATTTCTATTTCAGGTAAAAGCAAGTCATCCATGTAAGGCTGACTAAGGCAATGGCAATTCGAGGCCATGACACATGCATGTGGTAGTTGCATTTATTTTCCTAGACTTAACTAGAATAAGATGTTTTTAATTTAAATGATTATTTATTTTATTTATTCTTTCACTGTGTCGTCTTAAAGATATTTTCGAACAGGCAAGTCCATAGCTGTATTTTAAGATGAAGTTATGTTTTATGAAGAAGTTTAAATGAAATATTTCCGTACTCAATGTTTATGATATATATACAACAGCGACCTTAGATTAAGTAGAAAATTTAGAGTAAAAGACAGAACGATGGAAAACGTCGTTAGAGGCTGTTTCGAGAAGAGAGAGAAAGTCGTCAAAAAATCACGAGGGAAATGAGTGAAGACTTCTCGGGACAGATCCAGATCAAATACCCAACCGCTAGCTCAATAACTATCAGCTTGAAAAATCAAACCCAGCGGCCCAAGCACCCACCCTCAGCTACAACCCATCGGCATAACCCGAGGCCTAGACCTACAACCTACAGCTTCGGCCCAAGTCACCTGCAGCTGCCTTGCACACTCGTCAGCAGCTCATTGCGCCATATGTCACCCCTGCAACCAGAATGTCCTTCGGCTTACGAGGTTCACTCGGCTCAGCAGCTCAAAAGTCAGTCCCTCAGCTTGGGAAGGAGTATATTGTTCAATTTCTTGAATTAAGTTGAGTTAATAAATTTGAGTTACTAATGAACAAGATGAATGTTCTAATAGGAAATGACAACAAGCGATACTTGTTGCAATTTTGAAGGACGAAAAGTGAATGTACTCGAATTTAGGGAAACACCAGCTAATGACAACCAAGTAACCAACCAAGTAAGTGACCTTATTATCGGTTCAGTTATAATTGTATGTTGTATGATGACATGTGCCCGTTGCTTCGCACGTGCCATATGCTTGTATGTTTGAACTGTTATGAAATGATATGCGTACGGTATATTATGTGAATGTTATGCTATATGTGATGAACGTTATAATATATGATATGACATGATAGGTGCATAATATGATATGATATGTTAGAAGACATGATACGTTATGATATGGTTTATGTTTGACAAAAACGAAATATGATATGGTTGACATGCAAAATGATGAATTGACACATGATACAACCCCGATATACTCATGGCAAGTTATGATAAAATGATATGATGTAAAGAACAATGCTAAGGGGGTTGTTATACATGATAATGAAAGGAAAAATGTTGGGACCTCATGCATCATTATGTGTTCATGCATCAGGGGATACCCCTTCTCCATTTACAAGGGTACGGACGATTAAACTACGAGGCAAGAAAATAATCATTATATTTATTATTCGTAGTCGCTATTTCTAAATGGGTATTTGACATCAACAGCTATCAGAGAATGTTTGGTCGATAAGAAAGAG